ATAATTTTTAATGTCAGAGGAAAATGTCACATTATCATGCTTAATAAAAAAGCAGAGCCCTGGCCAGTTTTCTCAGTGGTTAGAGCGTTGGCACACGGGCCAAAGAGTTGTGGGTTCGATTCCAGTAAAGGGCACGTACCTTAGTTGCATTTCATCCCCGGTCCTGGTCAGGGTCGTGCAGGAGGCAACAAATTGATGTGTGTGTGTGTGTGTCTCTCTCTATCTCCCCCTCCCACTCTGTCTGAAAATAAATGGAAAAATATCCTCGGGTGAGGTTTAAAAAAAGCGAAATACACATGATTCCACTATGTTACTATATGCTTGAAAAAACATCAAGGGGTTTAGCAATTGATAACTCTGGGAAGTTGCACTATAGCTCGCAATAACAACAGGTTATTGTTGTCTCCCTTTTTGTCTCTTTATAGTCTGGGTTTATCATCTGGAAAAAACATTAATTTGACTGGGCAAAAACTTCCACCTTAAAAATATTTATTGAGAAGATAACAAAGGTATAGATATTGCCTATCAAAGGTAATAAGCAAAATCTAAGGGTATTGCTTGGATTTAAGTGCTCCAGTTCCTTTTTGTAGCAACCTGCCAACAATTTATTTATCCTCAGGGATATTCCCTATAACCCTAAGGTCAGAAAATGCAAACAGAAAACTTCATTCTGACATTTACTCAACAACCGCATGCATACAAACCTGGTAAGACAGCATGGTGAGAGCAGTTTACTCTCTAATTTGCCTGGGTTCAAATACCACTTTCCTGTGATCATGAACAAGTTTCTCACCCACTCTGAGTCTCAGTTCCATCATCAGTGATGGCTTTCACATAGAGTTGGAATGAAACTAAAATTCAAGGACACATTCAAAATGCCAGCACATAATGAATATTTATCACTGCGGGTTACATTTCTAATACTTTGTCCAACACCTTTGCTTTCATTCTCACCCTATATCAGAACTCTCAACACAAAGTGGCTTAAATAAAAAGAAGTCCAGGAGTGCCCGGCTAGGGTGGTTCAGCGGTTGAGTGTTGACCCATGCACCAAGAAGTCACGTGTTTGATTCCCAGTCAGGGCACATGCCCAGGTTGTGGGCCCAATCCCCAGTGGGGGGCATGCAGGAGGCGGCCAATAGAGGTTCTCTCTCATCGATGTTTCTATCTCTCTAAAATCAATAAAGAAAAAAAAAAAAGAAGCCCAGGAGCTGGGCAGCCCTAGAAGGTCAACACAGAGCTTAATGACACCATCTGTTTGCTCCGTCACCCTCAGGGGATAGCTCCTCTCTTGTAACAAGGTGGCTGCAGCATTTTAGGCATCAGATCCATACAGGACAATGTCCCAAGGTAAAAAGGACCTTTTCCTGGGTATCTCTCTTAGAAGCAAAGACATCTTTCTCAAAAGCCCTCAGCATAGCTCCTCTCATGTCTCAAAGGTCAGAATTTGTCACATGCCCACACCCAATCCAGGAACAATTACCAGTTTAGTTCAGAGAGCTTTGGACAGAAAAAAGGGCTGGCCTTCGCAAAGTACATCCCAAGGGCAACTATGGTAAATGCCAGAGCAAAATTTGTGTCCTGATAAGGAAAGGGAAGGGGGCAATGGATGTTAAGGCAGATCATTCAATGGTGTGTCTTCTCTACTCCCCATTGCATGAAGCCTTTTCTACTGTAAATTTTGAAGGTGATGTAGGTGGGAAGTAGATGAGGATAGATAGCTGACTTATCCAGGGAAGTTGGGGTGAAAGGGCCTGATGACAAAAGGAGGAGGGAGAGGGCTCAGTACACCAGCCTGACCTACCTCATAGTTCTGTCCAGACTAGAGCAAGTCCTGTTGGAGTGTAAACTGGGACAGTACGAAATCAAGGCCAAACACATAGCTGGTGTGAATACAAGGTGATAATGAATATTGCCTCATTTGAGATGAACAGGAATGTCTATGTATTTGAGTTGCAGATATCTATGGAGAGGAGTGGTTGGCCTTCAGATCCAGATGAAGAACAAAATCCCTTCAAAATCAACAATGAATAAGTTATGACCACATATCATCTCCAACCATAAAATAACCCCTAAAGAAAATAAAAGACATGTAAGATACAGGTCCAGCTTTGAAGACTTTAAATTTTGATGAAAGAGTCAAAAGCAACAGAAGCACTTCTGATTTGAGAGCAATACCAGATCTTCTAAAATGAAGGGCTAGAGAATGCTGTGCAGAGTAGAATTATGGCAGGGGCTCAGTGAAGTTGGGAAAGAGATGGCTGAGGGGCAGGATGCAGGAAGCAGCCTAAGCAGTGAGTAACCCCGGATAGGTCAGGATTTGGGTTCGGGTGGGCAGAAGAGAGAAGAGAGAAGAACCATGAAATGGGAAGAAGAGTGGTAACAAGGAGAATCCCCTGACAAGGATGGAGACACTCTGCTGGAGTAGTGAGAAATTATTTGGATAAGAAGGGGGGGACTATAGGAATCGAATTTCATGTATTAGGCTTGGTGGGGCACTGTTTGTTTGGGAGTGGGCCACTTTAAAAGGATTTGCCTGGTGCCCTGGCCAGTTTGGCTCAGCTGTTAAAGTATCTGCCTATGGTCCAGAAAGACCCAGGTTTGGTTCCCGCTAAAGGCATGTACTTAGGTTGCAGTTTGTCCCCGGCCCTGGTTGGGTGGTGCAAGAGGCATCCACTTGATGAGTCCCTTTCACATTGATGTTTCTCTCTCTCTCTCTCTCTCTCTCTCTCTCTCCCTCCCTCCCTCCCTTCCTCCCTCCCACTCTATCTGAACAAAAAACGGAAAAATATCCTCAAGTGAGGATTAAAAAAAAAAAAAAATTAAAAAAAATAAATAAATAAAAGGATTTGCCTGGCTGTGATGATTAGTTTTTTTTTCCTTTTGGGACCTTTTTGTTTTTTGTTGTTGTTTTTCAATGAAGATGAGCTTAGCCAGGTGTGTGGGGTGGTGTGTAGGCATATTCTATCCTGGGACTTTGACAAGAATCCCATCAGCCCCCTGGCCAGAGATGCACGGCCAGAAACAACTCTGAGCGGCAAGTGTGGTAGTGGAAAGGGAATGGGCTTTGGAGCCAGACAGACTAAATTAAAAGTCTAGCCCATCACTCATTAGCTAATTACTCCATTTCATCTCTCAGAAGCTTAGTTTTTTTCATCTTTGGAATGGGCATAATCCCCACCTATAGGATTTTTTATAAGGAAAGCACCTGGTACATAGATAACACTCAAAATGTCATTTCTTGCCCTGGCCAGTTTGGCTCAGCGGTTAGAGCATCAGCCTGTGGACCGAAGGGTCTTGAGTTCGATTCTAGTCAAGGGCACATACCTCGGTTTTGGTTCAGTACCCGCCCTGGTCAGGGTCATGCAGGAGACACCCAGTCCATGTGTCTCTTTCACACTGATGTCTCTCTCTCTCTCTCTCCCTCCCACTCTGAAAATAAATGGAAAAATATCCTCGGGTGAGGATTAAAAAAAAAAAAGTTGTTTCTTTCTCTTCTTTCTATTTGTTTATCAAAACTATTAAAACAACTCCTTCAGTATTTGATCTTATCTAATAATGTTGTGTAACAGCTTCACAACTGCGTCATCCATAGGCACTCGAGGCAAAGAAAAGGCTTTGAGCCTTTCTTGATTTAAATATTGAAATTTTCTATCAAATTTTGGAAGTTTTTATTTTAAAATTATTTTAAACACAAAGTAATACAATTTATCTATAAAGGGTAAACATTTTTACTGTCATTAACTTTTATTTGTAATTATAGCTTTTAATTTATAAATTTAATATTCATTACAAATTCAATTGAGGAGCGGGAAGGAGGCAAAAACAGTGGTGAAAGGGAGAACAGTAGATTGCTATAGGGCAAGGGTGTGAGGTGTCCACTTTTACTTTAGCTTTGAATTTTCTAGAAAGGCTATTATTGTCTTTTATACATTAAAATAATTTTTTTCATTAAAAAAAATATGATTCTTTCACCTTTACTTCCCCCAAACCAACCCAGGGCAGGCAGCAAGCAGTATGTGTGAGGGCGTAGACAGCTCCCAGGATACTCCAGGTGTGCGGCATAAGGCCAAGAGGAGGAGGTGACAGGTGTCATCAAAAGGAGGGCCATGAGTATATTTCAAATTGCCCCCTCACTTTCAAGAAGGAAAATACCACTTATTATTGGTTCAACCAAAAGGCTTGTTTCCTGGATGTTTGGAGGGAGGACAGGGAGAGACCCAACAGAGTCTTAGAAAAGGACAAGAAGGAAAAGAAAACTTGGAAAGAAATAAAAGTGAGTGAAAAAAAGCTATTTGAAAGGGTGGTGGGATGGTGGGTGACTTTGTGTCTCATGTTTCATTTACATCGTCATCATATTCATGCTGTCATGAAGGTTAACAGTCATCTAATACAGACCATGGTCTTCGAAAGATGTGTGTGTGAGGGTGTGAGTGTGGGAGTATTGTGGGTGAACCTGTGCGGGGGAGATGTGGAGACTACAATGTGGGAGGAGTTTGGAGTGAGAATGTGTGTGCTTGTGTGACGGGAATGTGGAGGTGCGTGGGGCGTATAAGAAAAAGTGTGAGTGTGTGCGGAGTGAGGGTGTCTGGATAGCGTTGTGTGTGTGGAACGTGGAGCGTGTGCTCGGTGTGATGTGTACAATTTGGAGTGTGAGAGTGTGGATTCAGAGGCGTGTGAGGGTGTGAGTGTGAAGTGCCGTGTGTGTGTGTGTGTGTGTGTGTGTGTGTGTGTAAGCACACAAGGCGTGCGAGTTTGCAGTGTGGGTGAGGTGGGTACGTGGAGGGCATATGCGCGCCCCCCCCTCGCCCTCCCCACCTCTCGCTCACCCCCACCTCTCGCTCACCCCCACCTCTGGCTCCACCCCATCTCTCGCCCTCCCCCTACGATCCGCCCTCCACCCCCCCCCTGGTCCTCCCTGCCCCGCCCCGGCTGCGGCGCGCGGGTCGTGCGCGTGGGGAGCGCGGCGCGGAGGCCGCCCCTGTGCGGAAGGCGGCGGGAGCCCGAGCCGGAAGCGCGGTCCCCCGGCGGCCGCGACATGTGCAGGATGTCCTTCAAGGTGAGCGCCCGGACTCCGAAAGGGCGTGTCGGGCCGGGGCCAGACCGCAGCGGCGACCCCGCACCCAGAGGCCGCCCGAGCCGCCGCCGCCGCAGGGCCCGCGGGGTGGGGTGGGCGCCGCGGGGTGCCGGGGGGACGGAGGAAGCGCCCGCGCTCGGACGGCTCCTGTCCTTTGCGGTTTGGTCGTGTGCGCTTCGCGGAAAAGCTCTCGGTGCGGAGGCTGCAGGGCAGGTGGGCCTGCGGCGGGGAGGGGGCGGCGGGAGAAGCCCTCGGTCTGCGGGTCCTGCAGCCGCGCTCGCAGCGACGGGCTGCGGCACGGATTCCCGGTCCTGTGTCCCCGTTTCGGAGCGCCAGCCGGTGGTTGCTCCTCCGCACGGGGCCCTTTCTTGGACACTGAAGCTGGGTGACCAGCACAGAGTGGAGTTGTAATTGATTACGAGGCTAGTGTCCAAAGGAGTCATGTCTTAAAAGAGTTTATTAAAGTCATTCCATTATATCCCCACATTTTAGGATGAAAGTGAGGTTAGTTGATTTCCCTCTATTGAATGATTTTAATACAAATAATAGTTAAAATTCTGAGCTAAAATGTGCCCAACTCTGAACTAAGGGCATCACCGTTCATCTTCTGAATCCTCAAAAGACCCATGAGATTTACTTTCCTGGCTCTTTTTTTTTTTTTTAAACAAAAACAAGAAAACTAAAGCATGACCAGTTAATTAGCTCCTCTCACAGTTTTGCAGCTGGTAAGTAAACAGTGTTAAGATTGAAACCAAACCCTAGTGTGCCTGGCTCCAGAGCCACTGTAATCCCTTCTCCTGTAGCTCATGTAAGCAGAGGAATGACACGGTGAAATTCACTATTTGGAAAGATATCTGGCTACAGTTTGGACAGTGGAGCTGGGAAACCAAACAGGAGGATGTTGGGGTCATCTTGTTAAATGGTACTGGATGAGGGCATGGAAGTCAAAGGTGGAAGGATGTAATTAACAAAATGAGTGACTTTGAAATGTTTAAATCTACAGAATTCAGTAATTGATGTTGTTCACAGAGTTAGGGTAGGCCAGACAGGTAAAGAGAAAATGTTCAGTTCAGAATATATAAAGCTTAAGGGTTGATGGGAGTCCAAGAAGAGATGCTGAATAAATAGATGTACAAACTGGGAGCCTAGGAGGGTAATCTAGGCACCAGAGAGATGAGATTTAGGGGTGAGCAGTGTTAAGTGGTAACTGTACCCACGGGAATGAATGTGATTATCCAGTGAGACCATGTGAAGGTAGAAGATAAGACTGAGGACAAACTCTTGAAGATCAAGACTTAAAAATGAGGAGAAAAAGAGAAGCCCATTGAAAAAACTGAGCAGGAGATACATGAGAACACACAGAAGCATGTGCCATTATTTAAGCCAAGAATCTCTAGTCTTTGAATAACGTGGAGAGGAACTCCGAGTTAAATACCACAGAGAAATCAAACAGACTGAGAATTGAAAAGTGTCCATTGAATTTACACAAAACAATCACTGGTGACCTTGATGAGAGCAGTTTCAGTGAAGTGTGGGGTGCAGGAGCCAGATTGCAATAGCTTGAAAAAAGAGTGGGTGGAAATCATAAGTGTAGAGAACTCTTTCCAAAATTCTGCATGAAACGGTGGCTGTAGCAGGCAACCAGACTTGGCTAAGGGTTTATTTGCTTTAACATGGTAGATACTTGAGTATCTTTAAATGATGATAGATATCTCAACAATAAAAACACAGCCCAATTTTAAAATGGCCAAAGGATAGGAAGATATGCAAACAGCCAATAAACCACTGGAAATGTGCTCAATGTATTAGCCATCAGGGAAATGCCAGTCAAAACCACAGTAAAATACTACGTCACACCCACTAGGATGACTGTAATCAGCAGGACAGACAATGACAAGTGTTGGCAAAGATGTGGAGAAATTAGAACCCTCATACATTGCTGGTAGGAAGGTAAAATGATTCAGTCTGGTTATTCTTCAAAAAGTTAAACATAGAGCCCTGGCCAGTTTGACTCAGTGGTTAGAGCGTCGGCCTGTGGACCAGAGAGTCCCGGGTTCGGTTCCCGCTAAGGGCATGTACCTCAGTCGCACTTTGTCCCCTGCCCTGGTTGGGGTCGTGTGGGTGGCGACCACTCGATGTGTCTCTCTCATGTTGATGTTTCTCTCTTTCTCTCTTCCTCTCTCCCTCCTGCTTTTTCTGAAGATAAATGCACAAATGTCCACGGGTGAGGATAAAAAAGAAATTAAACATAGAGTTACCACATGACCCAGCAATTTCAGTCCTAGATAGATCTATATCTATATATCTATATCTATATATACATACACATACACACACCCAAGAGATATTAAAGCATATGTTCACACAAAAACTTATACACAAATGTTCACAGCAATATTATTCATTATAGATCCAAAGTGGAAACAACCCAAATGTCCATCAACTGATGATAAACAAAATGTGGTATATATTAGTCAGCTTGGTCTGTCATAACAGAATGCTGTAGACTGGATAGCTTAAAAAACAGGAATTTTATATTTCACATTGCTGGAGGCTGGGAAGTCCAAGACCAAGCTGTTGGCAGATTCCATGTGTGGTAAGAACCATCTTCCTGGCTTGCCAGCAGCCACCTTCTCGCTGTATTCTCAGATGTGAGAGAGGGAGCTCTGGTGTTTCTTTTATTTTAAGGGTACTAACCCTACTGAGACAGGGTAGGAAAACAATATAAGCAGAATAGGGAAACTGAGACAGTTAAACTGCAGCTTGCAGCCATCTAGTAAATTCTATCTTCCTTAAACCAAAGACACTTGAGAGTAAATGGTTTGCACTTCTCCTTCCTAACCAGAGGGTAAGTGGCTTAAATCACCCTACTCAGGGAGACATAGCAGAAATCCAATTAGTGCCATTTGCCGACCACACCCAAGGACAGATGAAGTTAAGACAATAGATCTCATTTTGGTAGTAAAGCTGATGAATATATTCTATTGAGGTCCTCCCCTAAGACCTCCCGTAAATGCCCAGCATTTAAAATCCCTCAAAAGGAAGGTTTCAGAGTGTGTGCTCCCTCTCAGGAGCACACCCGTGCCTTCCCCTCCCTCTTCCTCTCTTCTTCCCCCACAGGCAAGCATCTCCTAAACTTTAAGGAAACCCACCAGGGCAGCAGCAGTTCATCCAGGCTAACCCCCCAAAGCTGTCCTCAAGCCCCCTTTTCTCTGACTTCTTACTGAGCCAGAGCAGACCAGCCTAGGCTCATTTCCCCAGCCCTTTCTTGTTTCATTGTCCCCAGCTTCAAGAAACATCGTCTAAAATTCACCTAGATTCGTGTTGTGAAATTTTCCCTTCACGAGGTCAAGAACCCACACATACCACCTGCCGGCGCTGGGCAGAACTGCCAAGGGCCAGGTCCCCTTTCCAGTAACACTATCATGGGGCTGTGCTACCCTGGCCTAATCTACGCTGAAGTACCTCCCAAAGGCCCCGCCTTGTGATACCATCATTTGGGAGTTAGGACTTCAACATAGGAATTTGGTGGAGGAAGAACACAAACATTCAGTTCATAAGATGATCTATTCATACAATGGAATCATTCAGCCATAAAAAATAAAAAAACAAAACAAAAACTGAAGTACTGACATGCAGCAACATGGAAGAACCTTGAAAACATTATGTTAAGTGAAAGAAGCCAGACACGTATTCTATGGTTCTATTAATATAATATGCTCAGGATAGGAAAATCTGTAGAGACAAAAAGCAGATGTATTGGTTGTCAGGTGCTGGGAAAGGAGGGGAAGATGGGAGTGATTGTTAATAGTACAAGGTTTCCCTTTGGGGTGATGGAGTGTTCTGGAATAGTATGGTGATGGTTGTAAGACCTTGAGAACACACTAATTAAACACATTGAGTTAAATGCTTTAAAGGAATAGATTTTGTATTGTATAAATTATACCTCAATAAAAAAAAGTATTTAAAAATGGCAGAGTGCTGCCCTGGCTGGTTTGGTTCAGTGGTTAGAGTGTCAACACGCAGACCAATGAGTCACGGGTTCAATTCTGGTCAAGGGGCCCTGGTCAGGTTGTGTGAGAGGCAATCAGTCAATGTGGCTCTATCACATCAGTGTCTCTCTCTGTTTCTCTCTCCCTTCTCCTGCTCTATCTGATGATAAATAGAAAAATATCCTCAGGTGAGGAATTAAAAAAAAAATGACAGTGCTGAGAAGGCTTGGGAGGAGAGAGGCTAACTTTGCTGATGGATGAGGTACTAAGGAGGTGGGAGGGACAAAGTGAGCAGGGCTTAGTTAATTGTAGGGATTAACTATAGACAGGTGGAGGAAAACCTTTCCATTGGAGAAGAGGAAAGGAGGCGAGATTGAGCGTGGATATTGGTGTTTTGTACAGTGAAGGCCAGGATGAGGTAAAAATTTGGCTTGAGCAGAAAGGGAAGTGCCAAAATTTTCGGTGAAGAACAAAGAACGATCAGCTGGCAACAACTACCAGGTGAGGTGAGGCAGAGGATGTTGAAAACCAGAGGTTCGTACACCTGACCACAAGAGCAGTGTCTGGAAACCAGGTGAGGAGGGCCCACCCTCGTTTCCCACCACAGGGCTGGTGTGGGAGAAGGTCCAGCCTTACCAGGCAGGGGTGCTCCGGAGCTTTTGGCAGGAAGACAGAAGAAGCACTGTGTCCTCGGTTAAGATTGAGGAGTTGATTTTCCATGAAGTTCCAAATGGCACAGAGGAAGGCTGGAGGGGGAGGGGAACAGAGTCCCAGGCCAGTGGACTAAGCCTGCACTGGCCCCAGCTCACATCATATCAAACATATTAAAATGTACTCACAGCCCTGGCAATGGTTAGAGCATCATCCTGTGGACCAGAGAGTCCCAAGTTCAATTCCCACTAAGGGCACGTACCTGGGTTGCAGTTTGTCCCCGGCCCTGGTTGGTCGTGCAGGTGGCAGCCACTCATTGTGTCCCTTTCACATCGATGT